TAACACCTGCAAAAACGGGCGCTGATCTGGACGGACAATAGTTTGCGCCCCTACCAGCGCTAAGCCGCCCGTAACCGCGGCGGACGGCGACAGCAAAATCCCAAAAGCACCCTGCCGACCCGGAACCGGCTTCCGGTATCGTAAGGGAATGAGCATCTGAGAGCCAGGTGGAATATCAACCGAAACTTCCGATAGCGCCTGCACCTGGGCGACAGGAGCCGGTCGCCCCCAGGCGGACGGTAAAAATTCCAATTTCCGGCCCCCCGGTAGTTCTATGCAATTTTCATTGATTCTAATTAGAATGGGCATCTTAGCCAAAAAATCCGTACCCAACAGGCAAGGAACCGCCAGGGACCTCGAAATCAACACAACGCCCGAGGCCGAGACACCCCCGATAGAAATGTTAGCGTCCACCTGTCCCACGATGCCCATACTACCCCCGTTCGCAGCGATGCAGGAAGCGTAAGCCGGCCTCACGGCCCCCGGTGGGATGTTCAAAAGATGGAATATCACATCCGAAATAATGGTCGCGGACGCACCGGAATCCACCAAAATACGTACGTCCACCCCTTGGATGGACCCAGGTACAGTGGACGAACCGGTAGCGGCCGCGACAACCCGCCGAGCCAGCTTACGCCACTGCGTTATCGAGCGACAAGGCTCAGATACTGGCCTCCCGTATTTTACAACATCCGCGTCGCATAACAACGGCGATGAGTGAGGTGTCAGGCCTTGCCGGGTGTCTGGTGCGCACCGACTTGCCTGTGCCGGAGGGTCTTTCTTTGGGGCGTCCGCTGTTGAGGCCTCCTGCTGGGGCGGCCCCGGAACCCGGGCCCAGCAGTCCCTGGCATAGTGGCCCCGACGGCCGCAGCGGAAGCAGTCGACGTCGGGGCGGCGCGCAGCGGGCACCCCGTCCCGACGCGGCCGCGCCGGCGGCGGAGCCCGCGGCCCTGGCCCGCTTCGAGCCGGCCACGGAGTGGAGGCGGCCGACAACTCCTTTGGGCCGGTCGCATCCGGCACGTACACGGCCTTCGTAGGGTCCCACCCTACGGCCCCCCCATCGACGACAGGACCGCCCGTCCACGCCGTCACCTGTTTCCAGCGGCGGAGATTGAACTGGGCGTCCAAACACTTGGCCGCGGTCCGGGACGTGAGTTTTTCGTGACCGCACGCCTGCATGGGAATGCCGAGATCTCGGGACAACTCCAACATCTTCCCCAAGATGAGTGGTTCCAGCAGGTCAGGCTCCGTCTCCGGGTAAGCGGCCATAGCGAGTTCCAACACGGCGCCCCTGTACGCTACAGGTGACTCCTCAGGTGCGCGTTGCCGCTGCACGAATCGGCGATGGGCGTCATCCGGTGGCTCGTACGCGTCCGCCATTTCCTCGAACACCCCTCGCAGAGTTTTCTTCTTCGCAGCTTTTATAGAGCGAAAAAAACGAACGGACTCATCATCAAGAAGAGTCGGGAGCACCTCCAGTGCCTCAGCGTCCGTCCACCTTGCCGTACGTACCGCCGCCAAAAATCTGCAGGCGAACGCACTCCAATCGCCCCCGATGGAGAACTCTTTGACGGTTGTAAGGTGACGACTGCGACTCCTTGGCTTGCTTCCGTCCGTCGCTGACTCTTCCGGCGGTAAGTTCAGCAAGGCGTCGCAACGCTGTGTCGCCAAAATGGCGGACGATCCTCGCGGCGGCCCCAAAATGGCGGCTTCCCGCCTTCCGTGGTGCGCCACGCCCAAGATGGCGTCTTCACGCCGCGTGGCCGATGGCGGCGCCATCGAAGACGACCCGGGCTCCTGCCGATCACCACCATCACCTTCCAACGCCGCCCTTGGCGTGACAAGGTCACACAACTCTGTGATGACGGTTTTTAGGGTTGCCAGTTGCTCCGCCATCCGGATCCATCTTAAATCTTCGTCCTTCAACGCAGATGGGTCGGACGAAGGGGCCACCTCCTCGACGCCCGGGCCCTCACGGATCTCTCCCTCCGCCGAAGTGAAGCCGACCTCAGGAGGAAGATCGTCGTCGTCCGAAGATGAAGCCGACGCCGGGGATGGAATATTCTTTTTCCTCAGTTGTTTCGCCATGCCGTTTCACTTCTGACTCCAGTGTAATAAAAGGACTCGGACACTTCCTTCTGTCTTCGTGTCTTTTATTGGGTTCTCGTCCTCACCCACACGGCACTCTGTTATAACTCTGTATTTGTAGCCCCCGGCTATTCACTGCTATTATAGCTCCTTCTTCCCTCTGACTCTCCGCTTCATCTACTGTAACCTCCTCCCTGCAGACTCGCTGCTACCTCTATGCAGACTCCCGCTGCTACCCCTATGTGCAGACCCTCTGGCTGCTACCGTATGCAGACCCGCTGCTGACTCTGTATGCAGCCCCGCTGCTGACTGCAGCCTCCTCGCTGCTTCGGGTCGGTCACCGCTGGCCAACGGTGCCGATCCTCGCTCCCCCGTGTTCGTGGCGATCTCGCCACCCTCCGCTTCGCCCTTCGTGGCCTCTCTCTGTTCCTGGTTCCCCGTCACTCCCCATCCTCTTCCGGTTCCCCTCCTTCTATACTCAACCCCTCTCCCCCCCACGTGACCTAACTCCTCCCCTCATGACGGCACCTCCGGAGGGCCGTTTACACCCGCATTACACATGTAACCCGTGGCACACCCGGGGAAGCGACGTACATAGAGAAGGAAGGCGCAAGCAGAACTGAGCTTGCACAGAGCGGCGTACGTTTTCACAGGGGGCGGGGAAAGAGGTGGGATTCGGAGTGGGGGTGGCCACACACGAGGCACGGGAGGCTTTCGAGATGATCTGGATACTGAATATTGATACCCCACGCACTCGAATGGAGTCTGATGCATCGCTCGAGAATGTTAACATGTTTATGTTAACTTAATTGCTGTTAGCTATCCAGTTTTAAACGTTTAATCGTATTGAGAAATCATATACTTTTTCATTTTTAAACATCATATCAGGCATATTCGGTAACAAACATAACATTGATTATAATAATTAATAAAATAATAGGTTTCTCCCCTTTTTTTCTGGCAACAAAACTGAAACATTTTACAAGAAATTATGTGTACATTAACCACAATACTTGTGGTCAAAATGCAAAAAAAAAAACACTGATAATATATGCATTGTCCTTGAAACTGAAAGACAATGCACTATCAAAGTAATGAGGGCTCGGGGTAAGCAGCTACATCATTAGACCTCCTCTGTCTTTGAGCTGTACGCCTTTTGGCGTCCTCAGGTCTAGCACCAATTGAGACGAGGCTCAAAAGAAAGCCATCTCTAGTGTGGACCAATCAGTTTCAAGGACAATGCATATATTATCAGTGTGTTTTTTGTTTGCATTTTGACCACAAATATTGTGGTTAGTGCACACATGATTCCTTGTAAAAAGGTTTCAGTTTTGTTGCCAGAAAAAAGGGGAAAAACCCTATTATTATATTTTGGTACTGGCAAAGAAGGTCTAATGATGAACTAATTAATAAAACCAAGTGTTGCAAATCCGTTGTCAGCTGTACAGGTGAAGTGAGTCCAACTGAGTCGCAGACGCTATCTTGGGAGCAACACTATTTATTCACATAACAGCACGAACATAACACAACCTACGCTCAGGTCTAGAATCCTCATCTAACCACGCTATGGCAGAACTAGACACAGTTCGCTATCCCGGTCTGAACCACCAATGGGGTCCCGGACCGCGTGGCTAGAGGCTTTTTCTTTCCGACGTGGATCTTCGAACACCAACACTTGAAGAACCCCGAGCTCCTCACGGAGCTCTCGTTATATGCTCCCGGGCTGGGGTTGGCTCCGCCCTTAGCCCCGCCCACCTTCCAGGCTCCTTGGGCCCCTTCTCGAATGTTCCCGAGAGCTCTCCCGGACCACGTGACCGCCCTTGGCCCCCGTCCACCGGTAGCCCCCCTCCAGTATCGTCCGGTCACGTGACAACAGGTCAGCCAGAGTGTCATGCCCCAGAGTAACCCTGGCTGGCTGACGCTCCCTCTCGCTTCCTCACTGGGAGCCGGCACCGCACACTGCTCGCGGTGCGTCCGCGCTAACCAGCGCTCACCCAACCACCGCTAGTGTTGGTACTGCAGCCCGCAACCCGGGCTGCCCGCAATGACATTACCGGCCGTGACAGTGACAGGTACAGTCACTACACAGGCAACATATTATGGCAAAGCCTAATGATGATGTAGTGCTGGAGACACGCGTCACGCGCTGGGTTGGTATGCGTGCACGTGGCGGACAGTGAGGGCAAACGATGACACAGGGCGCTAATTAACTAACCGTTGTTGTTGTACAAATGAAGGTGGTGTGATAGTTAAGGGGGCCACAGGTGGCCGGGGGTAATTGAGGACGCAGGGCGTTGATTGGACGAGAGGGTCTGTTGTCTGAGATTCGCGCCGGCGTGTCTGGAATAACACCACCACGTGGCACGGGGGGGGGGGCGAGTGGCGTCGCGGGGGGTAGCAGTGGATAGAGCGAGTACAGCGTAGGGTAGCAGCGGAGTAACGGACTACGGAGAGTTACGACGGAGTGGGACGACGGAGTTAACAAAGAGCAGCCGAGCTGGAGAGAGAGAGGAGAGTCGCCGGAGGAGCAGAGGGGAGCAAGCGAGGCCAGCGGAGCGCAGCGAGCGAGCGGAGGAACATTGAGTGATGTTGACGGGAGAAATGTGGAACTATAGGATTGAATAAAGAACCGAGGAAAGACGAGAAGCTGTCGTGTCGGTACGAGCACTATAATAATAACAAAAAAGCTCGCAAGGTCGGAGCAAAGAAACAAACAGAAAGACAAAAAATTTTTTTTGGAAATGTCTCAATTGCCAACTACTGTAGTAGTAGTAATAATAAAGCGCTCTTTATAACAACACACCGCATACATGACACAACATGGAAGCGGAGAACAACAGCAACGACAACAACAACAAGATCGCTTTCTACGGTGCACGCCACCGATGGGGGCCCCTTGCCACCGCCCTCACCTGCGCCGTGGCTGTGGTTGCGGGCGGCGTTGAGACGGCGGCGTTTTGAGGATCGACCCAAACCACGCGGGCCGAGGCCTCACACCTCACGGCCAGCCTCTGCCCGACCTCCACAGTCACCTCGCTCGCGTTGGGGCTCACGCGTGGAAGATCCAGAGCACAGCAGCAGCAGCCTGAATATCGGCAATGAGAAGACCTATTATAAAGGCCCCGGCGTTCCGTTTGTCCGTCAACTACATTTTCAGAGCCATTCAGAAGGCCTGAATCAAGAAGTTATAGAAAGTGGACCCCTCCCCCTCACCGGATGTGGGGATAAAAAGTTGATCCAATAGGGTTCCAAAAATGTTATTTTGTAGGCATATATGCCTACACACCCTACATACAATAGTCAGTAGTATCTACTACATACTCTACACACAATAGAGTCAGTAGTATCTACTACACACCCTACATACAATAGTCAGTAGTATCCACTATACACCCTACACACAATAGAGTCAGTAGTATCTACTACACACCCTACATACAAAAGTCAGTAGTATCTACTACACACCCTACATACAATAGTCAGTAGTATCTACTACACACCCTACATACAATAGAGTCAGTAGTATCTACTACACACCCTACATACAATAGAGTCAGTAGTATTACTACACACCCTACACACAATAGAGTCAGTAGTATCTACTACACACCCTACATACAATAGTCAGTAGTATCCACTATACACCCTACACACAATAGAGTCAGTAGTATCTACTACACACCCTACATACAATAGTCAGTAGTATCTACTACACACCCTACATACAATAGTCAGTAGTATCTACTACACACCCTACATACAATAGAGTCAGTAGTATCACTACACACCCTACACACTATAGAGTCAATAGTATCTACTACACACCCTACACACAATAGAGTCAGTAGTATCTACTACACACCCTACACACAATAGAGTCAGTAGTATCTACTACACACCCTACATACAATAGAGTCAGTAGTATCTACTACACACCCTACACACAATAGAGTCAGTAGTATCTACTCCACACCCTACATACTATAGAGTCAGTAGTATCTACTACACACCCTACACACTATAGAGTCAGTAGTATCTACTACATACCTTACACACAACAGAGTCAGTTGTGTCTACTACACACCCTACACACTATAGACTCTATAGTGTGTAGTAGACACTACTGACTCTATAGTATAGAGTCAGTAGTATCTACTACACACTCTACATACAATAGAGTCAGTAGTGCCTGCTACACACCCTACACACAATAGAGTCAGTAGTATCTACTACACACCCTACATACAATAGAGTCAATAGTATCTACTACACACCCTACATACTATAGAGTCAGTAGTATCTACTACACACCCTACACACTATAGAGTCAGTAGTATCTACTACACACCCTACATACAATAGTCAGTAGTATCTACTACACACCCTACATACAATAGTCAGTAGTATCTACTACACACCCTACATACAATAGAGTCAGTAGTATCTACTACACACCCTACATACAATAGAGTCAGTAGTATCACTACACACCCTACACACAATAGAGTCAGTAGTATCTACTACACACCCTACATACTATAAAGTCAATAGTATCTACTACACACCCTACATACAATAGTCAGTAGTATCTACTACACACCCTACACACAATAGAGTCAGTAGTATCTACTCCACACCCTACATACTATAGAGTCAGTAGTATCTACTACATACCTTACACACAACAGAGTCAGTAGTATCTACTACACACCCTACACACAATAGAGTCAGTAGTATCTACTACACACTCTACACACAATAGAGTCAGTAGTATCTACTACACACCCTACACACAATAGAGTCAGTAGTATCTATTACACACCTGTTGTATCCTAGCCCTTCTTCCATAATTGAGATTAATAATATTTGATGATTTTTATATATTATCTTTTTACTTGTTTTTTTTAATGAGTGAAACACACCAAAGCGCACCAAACTGCAAAACACCAGGTGTTGTTAAGTAATGAACGAGAGGAGGGCTAGGATGACAGAATTGCAACCTTGCTTCAAGGCAAAGGCAGTGAAAGGAAGCAGAGGCGCCCTTGTCTAAGTCATAACCACAGAAAGCCAGGAATCATCACTGATTGTGTGTTAGGGATTCCGAGCTAATTAGAACACGTGCACACAGAAAGGGAGGTAGAAGCACGCCTTGTTCTCCTGCAGCTGAGGAAACATAGATAAACCCAAGAAGGCCTTGGACCTGAAATGAAGAATAACATTCCCAGAGCAGAAGGTTGGAGGGCCACAGAGAGCTGATTTAAAAAAAATGTTGTATATCTCTCAAGGCGGGCAGACCCAGCTAAAAAACACGGCTGCGGGGGTCACCAGAAGTTCGCGTTCGCCTAGTTAAGACAAAAAGCTCAATTATTCTGTATTGCTATTAAAGTAACGTTAAAGTCGGAATTTAACAACAGGGTAGGCTAAAGTTTGATATTCACACCCACTCCAATTAAACCAGGTCACAAGTACGCCTACTGAACCATCACCATCATTAAGTCAATATGAAATGTTATTTCCATACTTTAATGCTTTCTATACAACTCGACCCGAAGCATATGCATGAAAAGACAAAAGTAAAACTTATGAAAAGCCAGGATAACGGGATGAATCACCACCAGGTCGAATATAAATACATAATAAAAAACGATGTTAAACCCAGGGTCGGAGAGAAAGGGAGATCCCGGCCGTCTTTGTATCCCCGCAGCGCGGGATAGGAGTGTGTATACGCTCGGGGAAACACCTACACTTGAGTCAAGCACCACGATGGGAAACGACAGACCTTAGGTTACATACAGAATCATAACTGTGAAATAGTAAGGGACAAATGTTAACTTAAAACTTTTAACCATTTCTTTGTGCGCCGGGTCGGAGAGAGTGTTGCCCCTCCCTCCAGGTTGTGCAACACGAACAAAGACGCCTATGAGACATTTGTAACGTCTGTGTTTTGGGTTCATGAAGAAGGCCAGACAAGAGATAATATTGCACCCAGACAGAGAGACGACCTCGAGGCAATTTGTAACATCTGATTGTTTGCTCGTGGGTTTATGGAGGGAGTGTGACAACGAATATACCGTCAGTGATGCACACAAGGACACACGGACATACGGACAGACACATGGACACACCTGCCTACGGACAGATCCTGACACAGCAAAAATCGGAAGAAGCCCCGCCTTGTGGGCGGGATCCAGGGGGAATTTTCGGCATAAAGTAAAGGATCCTGAGCATTGGAAATCAGTGCGACGGGAGGGTCGACTCAGGAGGAGTGCGACCAGTGGGTCCACTCGGGAGTGCGACGGGAGGGTCCACTCAGAAGCTCGACCGGGAGGGTCGACTCAGGAACGAGTGCGACGGGAGGGTCCACTCAGAAGCTCGACCGGGAGGGTCGACTCAGGAACGAGTGTGACGAGAGGGTCCACTCAGGAGCGCGACCGGGGGAGTCGGCTCAGGAGGAGTGCGACCAGTGGGTCCACTCAGGAGTGCGACCAGAGAGTCGACTCAGGAGCGAGGGCGACCAGCGGGTCGACCCAGGAGCGAGCTCGACCGGGAGGGTCGACTCAGGAGCGAGCTGCGACCAGCGGGTCGGCTCGACTCATCTTCAGCTCGTCAATCTCTGCTGCCGCCGGAGATCTCTGCTGCCGCCGGAGTGGTGATCGTTGCGGTTTGGCGACGATCCAGCGCTGCACGCTACGAGCGAGTTGTGGGCGCCACCTACCGACCGGGTTCCGAACTGCGACAGCGTATCAACAGCCATCCGAACCAATTCGCCACGGGATCGACTGATACGTATGACGCGCACCGCCCCCTCACCACACGACCACCAGGCGTCTGTTTGACCTAAAGAATCGACTCCGAACACTGACTATTCAAGACAACTCTTACCACTCAAAAACACTCGAACCCATAAGCCATCCGTGGCTGGAAAGTATCACAACGAGACCGAGTGATGGCCCTCCGTCGTTTATAAGAGTATTCTTAAATTTTATCTTTAATATTTAGTGGGCTGTACTCTTAATCGCATAAATTCCCAACAGATCCATCAATACGAACTGATTCTTGGCACCTCCTTCCGCCGAGCCACGCTCACGTGGGGAGTGGTGGCCCACCGGATCCTTATCAGGTGATCTGGTCCCCAATTAGTAAACTTGGTATAAGATAACAATCTTCGGAAAAGGAGCACCGTCGCAGGCCCTTACTCCGAGCCGTTCTGAGATAACCTGCCGATGTATCTGTTGAGATTGGTGCCTTTAAGAATAATAACTGTTTTTGATTGTGTTTTTTTTTATCGCCGTATAATCTTTCAAGTATCTTTCAGTCATAATCGCCGCACGTACTCGCATCCTCTACAGAATATTCAACTGTTCCGTGACCCAAGGTGCTAACAACGTGATAAGGGTTGCGTATGATCAATAAGGAGTGCGGTACTGCGTGAACAATATTGAGTATAATCATTCATTAACGTTAAGGTTTCCTTCTCTCACTAACAACCATCGCGTTATGCGGGATCCATGTGCCGTTGTCAAAGTGAAATCAGACAATCGTTGATGATACTGTATTGATGCCGTATTGACGTTCCGGGATTGAGAGTTCGCATACTATATCATAGTTAAGGTTGAATTAGTAATAAATTGATTAATACAGAAGTGGTTGTGTGATTCTTTCCTGAAATCTATGCATAAGATCTGCTTCTGCGTTGAGATTTGAACTTGGTGACCTTAATAAACACACTTATACATACTCAGTAAATGTTAAAGCGATAACGGGGTGAACCGGGGTCTGGTTATCATAACGACTTGCATTATCATAATTACACCCACTCGCATAATTAATACGATTACCTCTCGAATTGGCATAATTAAAATGTGCGTAATTACATAAATTAACATATTTTCGGATAATTACACATTTGGCCAGATTTCATTTAATTATTATTATTTTCACTGAATATTCATAACCCACATATACAACATAATAATTTCACCCACGCACGCATACAACATAACAAATTTTCTCTTCCCAACATATACAACATAATGGGGGCTCGTCTTCCGGGATCTCTCGCAGACAGTTTATGCATGAATTCAG